TAGTAGTGTCTGCGCCTATCTCGAGCAACGGACCTGTGCTGCGCAACAGCGACCCGGCCGTCTTCTTCCTGCTGCTTGTAGCGTATTCAGCCAGCACAACCTCGTTCTCATTCTTCGTTGGATCATTTTTCAACAATGGTACTGCATCCAGGTGCCATCAGTGTATAGTGAGACTTCTAACTCAGATGGCGTGCTGCATACAACATATAATTATCAGTTATTAGGTCTAACCACCGAAGCAGTAGACCCTTAATTAGTGAAACGCCAATTTTCTTGCAAATAGATTTTCCCTACTACACCCGCCCCCATGCTGCGGTTGCCGTACTTAAGCCAATGATCGTGTCTCGGAATTTCGAAGATTACCACTTCTCGAAATATTGGCGATGTTACTTCTGTCAGGCAGCCCAGTCTTACGATGCTTCTTTTTATGTTCTCTAAGTCAATCAAGGCGTATAATCAGGCAGGCTAGATGTTGTGAGTGACTGGACGCATATTGTCCCGAAGCCTTTATTTATTTACTTGAGGTAACTCTGGCTCTGTGATCGTTCAGACATCATAGGACTGATGGGCAGCATACAGATTTTCCTAATCTGCGTGAGTGCGGGTTCAAACGTACTTGTGGCTTTGGTTGTCATCCTTCAGTGTGTCTGTTGCGTAAAAGAACGGATCATTGTGATCTTCGACAGCCGATTTGAAATGGGGAGCCTAAAAAAATTTAAGATTGAAGTGAAACTGCTGTACATTCAGCTGAACTTCCTCTTGCGTCAAAGCGGCCTCAGGGCTCGCAGTGCCACACGGAGCCGAAAAAACAAAGGCTAGACAAATCTGTGTACTACGCATCTTTGTCCATGGTGGCTGAAGCCCAAGGTCTTGCAGCCTTCCATAGACAGCATTGCAAGTGTCCCCTCTAATAAATATCACAGGAATCTCTTCGCACAAAAGCACTACATCTCTGTATTCATTGCCTTGAACAGTCACGTCAGTTTCGGTTGTTTTTTTGTTTCGTTTTTTTTGCACTCATCGGTGCTACGGATTCGATTTTTGCCGTTGAAATCGTCAACTTTCCATATACTACAATAATTACTAGAAGCTGCTTTTTCTATATCTTAGAGCTGCGATGGGTCTTTCACAAGAAGAACTTCAATTCTTACATTTGAGGTAACTACCTGACTCGTATAATTAGAAAGCTAATTAATTTTAATGCCTTAGTTACTACCACAAATTATATTTATAATCGATATTAGGATGCCTGCCGCTACAGAAAAGGCAACTGTGAGGACAGCGAGCAAATATCGCATTCGGAATTTAGAGGATTTTGTACACATTTCTGAAAACATGCGTTATACTGCATTGACATTGCCATAATTCACACAAACGCCTGACTCTAAAAAAGCATACTTAGAAAACACATAGTATAGACAAATGAATAGTGAAACAATTTCTCGTTTTTGATCAACAAAATTAAGAATAATCTACAAGATGTATCCTTTCATAGAACCAGTAACAGATGTTTTGTCATTTAATAGCCTTACATGTGTCAACATCTAATCTCTCCGCTGTTTCTATATTCTATATGCATTATTACGACGTGTACGCCTCGTGGATAAAAGGGTTACATATAACGCGGTGTCCATGGACAATGAGCCGGTAAGGACACTAGGGAGAAGCATCTGCGCCACTCCTTTCGAGGAAGAAAATGGTTTTCCATCATTACTTGAGTAGGAAAATCCTGCGCTTGAACTTTACTAATGAATTCTCCCCATTACTTTAGTGTTGTGCTTAAGATATAGGCGCCATACGATGCAAGTGAATTGTAAGCTAGGCCTAATGAAACTTGGTAACCTAATGTTCAACAGGTGAATTTCTGAGCAGTGTACCCTGAGAAGCAGGGTTTATCGTGAGTACGGTGTGGCGCAGCGAACACGTCGGCGGCGGCGTTGGCCGTGGCTTACATCTCGACCTTCTCGCCGTTCCTGTTCTTCTTCTCGCTGAACAACGACCACACGTTGCCCACCCTGGTGGCCGCCTGCCTCCTGTGCAACACTGCGCTGCCCGTCGGCATCACCGTCACCACGCTGCTCGAGGCCAGCGGTGAGCTGCACTTTGGCAACGGCGTGTCTCTTCTCTTGCGCTGTAGTATCTAGAAGAAACTGCGAATAACCTTGTCACCTGAGACCACACGGTATTTCGGCTAAGGGTAGGCGTATGCTGTAGCTGTACTCGGATGACCTGCACAACCATGGGCACTGCATCTATTGAACCGTTTCTTCATCGAATGAAAATTGCCACGCCCACTTATTCTCGTGTGATCAACACTGTCTCTATGTGCGCACAAAGGTCGGCAAACTCACTATTGAGTCTACTTGCACTGACCCGGACTCAGATCGAGCCATCAGTTTCAGCGGGTCTGGCTGCGAAAAAAAAAGATTGGCGAGTCTTAGGCCCGTATTCACAAACCAACCTCAACCTTTCCTCGAGTTTTCCTTATCGGTTTTAAACTTTTAATGCAGCATGATAAACAAACTTGTACCAGTACTCATAAACCAGTCTAGTCCTTATCTTTCACCTTGTTACCATTTTCGCGCCTTTATAACGCATGTAGAGAGTACAGGAAGTTGAGGAAAACGTGAGGTAAGGCCGAGGTTGGTTGTGAATACGGGTCTAACCCCCGTATTCACAAACGCTCCTCGACTCGACTTTCACCCTTCACTTGACAGAGTTGAGCACTGCGCCACTGCTCGGCTGAAAATGACGCTGTGCTACTCAAGAATCGCAGCAGATTATCGCAAATATGCAGTGACTTGCCGTGCCTATCGGCTTTCTCATGTGAAGGTGAAGCGTTGAGTGAAGGGACGTTCTAGAATACGGGGGTTAGTATGTGAATATGGTTGAGGAAACATTTGGCGAGTCTGAGTTCGAGTGAGTCTTAAGAACAAAATATTTATATTGAGCGATTCTGAGTGCACTCCGCATTTTTTTTACGACCTACATGCATGGAGTATATTGTTGGACACTGCCGGCCGTACGGTGCGAGACAGTCAAGCTATTCGGTAGACACACTTCACTTAGGAATCTACTGCTGCCCTAACACGTCGATGAAGTGCCCGTATTTCAGGCTTAACTGCGAGAATCGGGTGCAGCAGCTTTCGTTCACTAGTCGTACTTAAATATGGGGACAGGTGAAACAGGCCTGTTAGCTTTCTCAAAAGATCGAGTTCTATCCCATGAACCTAGAAGTAACCCTCACAATCAATTAGCTAGGGCCTGGACATGACTGAGATGAAACCAGATTATAGCCCTCACAATCAAAGTTTCGCTGCGTCAAGTGCAGATTAGTTTAATCGTCGCAATTTATTTATTACTATCCATATTCCTCCCTAAAAAGCACTTGGCCCTTCCAAATATTTCATCCGCCTATAAGCCACGCAATAAACGGGTAGGAAGGAAATGGCGGAGAAATGTTAAAAAAACATTCGACTTAATCCCAAATAAGGTTGAGGATTATCGACGCTCGTTACCTTTCTTCGGTCTGTGTGTTTATTCTTATTCAATTGTTTTTCGTTCTGTACCACTGTAATGCATGCGTCGACATGCGCATGCATTACAGTGGTACAGATTGTTAACCTTCCGGTAACGTACAAAAAAACCTCGGGAGTCGAAGGAATGGCGGATACGATCTTAATTGGCGCATCGTGCTTATCTACACTGTGTGCCTCTGCGTGCAATTATCCCAAAGATAATGCACTACAACACAAACAGCTCTGCTTCACGCAGTGTGTTACTTTCTGGGTACACGCGGAGTCATTCAGGTGCATTATTTAAAAAGATTTGTACTTCTGTGCTCTACAGGTGACGGCATACAGTGGCGCAACATGGACGTGAATCCTAACCCCGGTCAAAGCCTGTCGCTGATGTCGGTGATCCTGTTGCTTATCTTCGATACCTTTATGTACATCGTGGTGCTGTGGTACGTCGAAGTGCTGGCTGCTAGTCAGCCGAGGATCAGCTGGCGTCGGTCCCTGGTTAAGGTGACGACTCGCTCGTTTCTTACTATTGCTTAAGGAGGACCTGCAACCCTTTTTTTTCAGCATGGTTAGGAAACGATGCCGATCGGTAGTCGAGGCTCTTAGGAACAAGTGAGCCAAGCTTTATAGTGCAGCACGTGGCTTGGAATGTACAGAGAAAATTGCAAATTCTACTAGAAATCACTCCCATTTTCCTCTACAAATGATGCGATAAGCCCAAACGACAGTGCTATAAATCCGAATCTCACGGCCATTGGTTGATGTGCGTGGCGTGAACTGCACAGTTGACGCAGCCACCTCGGTATGGCGCGACGTGCCCGCGCATGCCAGAACAATTACACTGAAGGCAAGCCGCACGTTGGAATAAAACAAAAATTACGGCATATTCACGGGGTGAATGATGATGAATGGGCGAAGCTCCGGGGGGATTCATCGGTAAACTGTGAATCTTCCGTATAATTCGCCCAGTCGATCATCATGTAAAGACTGAGAAAACGCTGTGTGTGTGTATACACAAATCACCTTTTATTTGTTCTTAGACGATGGATGGCTTGCGATGTCCCTTGCCTCGCGCGCTCGCACATCGGGATTCTGGTCTGCGAGCGCGCGCTGCTGCCGCCTTGCGCTCTCCTCCGCTGTGCAGCCTTATCCATCCGGCGACTCCGAGCGCGCGCCAACAGCGAACGGATTTTATTACAACGCTCCCCCTAGCGTATGTCGCCGCACTAAATCGAACGATTGCCTTCAACCAATGACACGCGCCATATGTGACATCATTCCTATTTTATAAGATCTCGCGTCTTTCATCAACTACACAGTACCGCTTTTCTAGTTTATAACATCTTGCATCTTTTCATCATCAGCTACAAGTACCAGCATCTAGTAAACACTACAAGAACTAAACGAGAGGTGGCTACATACAGGAGACGGTACCGCCATCTAGTGAACACTGCAAGAACTAAACTAGAGGTGGCTACATACAGGGGACGGTACCGCCATCTAGTGAACACTGCAAGAACTAAACTAGAGGTGGCTACATACAGGCTACAGGGGACGCACAGCCCACGCCCTAAGGAGCTTCGCCCCTAAAACTGAAAAAGCGCTGAAGTCATTACGAGCGCTGACGAATGGACTTCCCCCCATTGTCACCACCTCCCACCCTTCCCTGCGTAGTTTTCAGCATGCTCGCTGGCACAAAAGGAGACAGAAAGCGCTTTAAGCGTGCGACAAATTGCTCTACTGACTCCGCTACCGCTCTGTGGATTCGAAAATAATTGTCGCCAGTCAATTAGAGAGGCAATGAGCTCCCTGAACGAATTTCTCTTTCAATCATTACCTAAAAATGCAAATATACATATATATAGGAGATGGGTCAAGATTGAGGATTGAAGTGATAAACGATCGTTGAACAGGTGACGTCACTGGAGCCAGGCCTACTATACATGAACACGTTGCTAAGGAATGTAGTCGTTGTCCTGGTAATGTCAAGTACATTTGGAGCGTTGGATCCAATGACATTTCTTGTTCATTGGATTTGAATCCTTAACTTTAACACCCCTAACCTCGACAAATATTATTATCTCTAATCGCCAACACCGACAAAAATATCAAACAAGATACGAAGGTAAAATCCTTCGTGGCCTTAGTGATAGGGTGTCCGACCGTAATTATACAAGTTGGGTTTCCATTCCACCAAAAAAGTTTTGTCCAGTTTTATTCATTCCAATTATGATACCGCCGTTAAAAAACAATGTGAACCTGATCAGAGTGAGCTTTGCGAAATGTACCAATGGCTGCTCTTGCAAGACCGCTTTATCGTTACGGTACTCGCACCGGGCTAGCTCAGTACTTAAGGTGTCACACTGCCAAGCTCTAGGGTGCGGGTTCAACTGCCGACTACAGCAACCGCATTTCGAAGGGGGTGACATGCACAGAACGCCCTCTCACTTAGATTTGAATCAACGTTAAAAAAACCCAAGATGGTCAAAATTGATCTATAGTCCCTCACTACCATGCCTGCCACGTGATTTTGGCTCGTGAAACCCCAGTAATTATTGTTACGATAGCCGTAGGCTGTCCTGCTATAGAGCTATTGACTGCAACCTATATGTGGTCAATGATTGCTGTGCGCAGTGTATGTTCGCTAAACATGTTGACAATTGTAAAGAGTAGGCGCATGTTACTTGTTGAAAGTGCGCAGCGAACGCATGCATCTGCTTGCAGAGACAGGGAAACCAATGTTGCTATCGCGTGCAGCCGGAAGACCTCGCCACTTCTGCCGCGGACGCTGAGAAAAAGGACGCTGCGCAAAAGAAAAACTCGGAAATATTCTTCGAAGAGTTTGTCTCTAAGGAGCCTGCCGGAGTTCGCCTCGTCAACCTTACCAAGGCAAGATAAGCTTCGTTTAATAATTATGCGCGCCGCATGTGCAGCTGCTAATTAAAAAAAATGGCCCCCTATTTGAATGTTAACCTGCAAATGTCATCGAAAGACGATAATCCTGCCTGTTGTGAGAGTGAACAAAACATTCATTTGATGTTCTGCGCAAGAAAATTGGTGAATGGTATCCTGGAGGCGCTGCGTTAGTGCCTCGAGCGTACAGCGGAGGCGAACGAGCTCATCAAGTCCCGTCACACGTGAGACATGAGCGCCGTCTGGCAGTTTTCTTGGAAAATGAAGCGCGTGGCTATGAGACGGGTGTGCGCGCCCGTCTCAGAGGTGATAAGGTGTAGAACGCAAGGCGACGGATTGGGCCACCAAGCAAAGCGTTGGAAACACTCGCCTTTTCGTGCAAGCGTTGCATGGTCAGCGCAGTGTGATAATCGCTACGCTCCTTAAAATAATTTATGTATGCCTTTTCTAGTATTGATTGATATTGCCACTAGTGCGTGTTTCATCGTGCGTGTTTTCATCTGGCAATAATGTTATGACATCGGGACGATGTCCTTTGGGAAGGGGGGTAATGCCACTAGTACAAGTTCTGAAACAATTATTTCCACAGATGCTAGCATGCTTGTATGTACCGCTGTTCAGAAGAGGACAAAGATGCGCGTGCAGAGAAAAACAATAGTCGTACTGCCGTTGTTCGAATCAGTTTGGCGTCCTTGTGTGCCATTATCAGGAGGTTACAGTTACGTTGTAACGTGACAATATGTGGGGTGTAACGTCCCAAAACCACCGTATGATTGAGAGACGCCGTAGTGGAGGGCTCAAGATATTTCGGCCACCTGGGGTTCTTTGCGTACACCCAAATCTGAGCATACGGGCATACAGCATTTGCGCGTCCGTCGGAAATGCAGCCGCCGCAGCCAGGATTAGATCCCGCGAACTGCGGGTCAGCAGCCGAGTACCTTAGCCACTAGACCACCGCAGCGGGGCTGCCTTTTCTAGCAAAAGACGCACATGCAGAATATGTACGTGTTGTTATGGTGCCCCAGACATGCGCAATAATTGCTTTTCAATTGGAAATTGCATAAGTATGCACGCTAAATCTTGAGCAACATTGGTGGGCGCTGCGAATGGGGTCGGCCGTTCCAAGTACCCAGTGCCGTTAAGAGTGGACCAACAGACAAATGTACAGACAGACAGACAGACAGACAGACAGACAGACAGACAGACAGACAGACAGACAGACAGACAGACAGACAGACAGACAGACAGACAGACAGACAGACAGACAGACGGACGGACGGACGGGCAGGCACGCAGGCAGGCAGGCAAGCAGGCAGGCAGACCAAAATTTTTGCGTTGAAGGTCCCCAAGAAAGACTACTGTATTTAAAAAGATCTGATAGATCAAGCGGAGTCGCCGCCTGGTGGCCACTGGCTGAAGCGCGCCTAGTGTGGATTGCTCCCTGCGTCGTCTGCTATTCACCTAAGGCAAGCATGTGTGCGTACGCAATGTTAATTTTTTAAGGGCGATTCGTCCTGGACTGTTAGTGCAAGTTTATCTGCTTGTACGTTTGCCTATAGCACTATCTACTGAAACATTTGGCCTTGCTCGGCTTTATACGCACTGCAATAAGATCATTTCTTGCACATGCCGAGAGTACATAGCGTATCGCTGTCGTACCCTTGGTTGCCCAGGATAAGATCGGTGTAAGTGCCGCTTTGTAGTTGAAGCACGTCATAAAGTGCCCTTGGCACCGTCCCAAACATTAAGAATGTTACGTATTGCATGAACACGGCATTTTTGCGACTCAGTGATAAGCGAAGGCTTGTTTGTTGTTAGGTGTCAGACCTCAGCGGTGTTGCTTATCGGTTATATGTATTGTTCTGTCCTGGACCCACTAAAGCGAAATATTTCTGACAAGTAAGTACTGTTTTGCGGAATGGCGACGGTCTTTTAGGCGAGAAATCTCGTATGATGTGACAATTTTTGTAAGCTATATCTGATTTTCACCTTCAATAAACTTTAAGTTGTGAGTGTGCACTTGGGCTGCGAGCGTGCGAGTGTGCGCTCGTGTTGTCCTTATTACGTACCTCCAGTCCTTGTTACGTACCGTGCCTCACTTCTTCCATAATGAAATACTGACGTTTCGGTACTTTGTCTTTCCTTAATGTGAGCACAAAATAGAATAACACGGAGGTGATTGAACTTTATTCGCCATGCGCAATTTGAACATTGCGTGAAATTTATACAGGTGCATTCATGCGTTAGATTTGAGTTCACTTTAAAGAATCCAGGTGGTCAAAATTGATCCAGACAGCGTGCCTTACGGTTATGTCATATAGTTTTACGGGAAACGTTTTCATTCCCTTTAAGTTCGAATCATTTCTTAGCGAACTTCGGCTACTTTTAGCGTATCTATCTATCTATCTATCTATCTATCTATCTATCTATCTATCTATCTATCTATCTATCTATCTATCTATCTATCTATCTATCTATCTATCTATCTATCTATCTATCTATCTATCTATCTATCTGTCTGTCTGTCTGTCTGTCTGTCTGTCTGTCTGTCTGTCTGTCTGTCTGTCTGTCTGTCTGTCTGTCTGTCTGTCTGTCTGTCTGTCTGTCTGTCTGTCTGTCTGTCTGTCTGTCTGTCTGTCTATCTATCTATCTATCTATCTATCTGTCTGTCTATCTATCTGACCGCCTACGAAATTTAGGTCTCCTGGCCGTTTCGATAATGGTATCGATGCCAAACTTGCTATGGCATAACTTACTCTATGAAGAACATATTTGACTAGTCATAACATGAAAGTCAAAACATGTATGTCATGAATGTCATGATTTACGTATTTATTTTTTTATTATTTTTTTTATTTATGATACCTCAAAGGCCCCTAAAGGAAGGGGTTTTACATGAGGAGTGGGCATATCTACAAAAACAGCTCTTCTATGATGCGTTTGAAGATGGCTTGGTCGGAATGAAGCACTGCCTTGGTGGGAAAGTCATTCCAGTCCCTTGATGTCTGATTGAAGAATGAGGAGGCATGAGAGACAGTATGGGCTTGAGGGGGGTATACGGTCTTTTCGTGGTTGGTCCGGCTTGAGTGGCGGTGTGCGGGAGCAATGAGATCGGCTGGGGGTACTTGTGAAAGAACTTATGAAAGAGAGAAAGGCGGGCGACTTGACGGCGTGATACAAGGCTGGGAAGGTTGGGTTTGGATTTGAGTTTGGATGAGCTAGAGGTGTAGGAATAGTCCGAAAAAATGAAACGTACGGCAGGATTCTGTACTGATTCAAGCACGGTAATGTGATTATGTTGGTATGGGTCTCACAGGGCGCATGCATATTCGAGCTTCGGCCATACTAAGCAGCAGTACGTTAGAAGTTTGACTGAGGGGGGTGCTAATCGTATATTACGCCGCAGGAAACCAAGAACGCGATTAGCAGAATTTGTTATGCTGGTTATGTGGGTGTGCCGTGATACGTCAGAAGTGAGGTTAATTCCTAAGTACTTGTAGGTGTTAACAGGGGATATTAAAGAACCACTTATTATAGAATCGCCAGCCGGGTATGACTTCTTTCGATGAAAAGTGACAAGGGAGGTTTTTGATGCGTTTAATGACATAAGCCACTTGCGGTACCAATCTTCATTTTGACTGAGGTCAGATTGTAGGGATAAAACATCGTTATTATTGTTAATATGGCGGTATAGCACGCAGTCGTCTGCAAACAATTGTATCCCGGAAGAAATGTTAGTTGTATAATAAAGAACTGAGACAGTCAAAACTGTTATTCGTGACCAGGTAGGAGCGTAGGCCTAGCTAGCGAAATCAGCGACAGTCCGGACTGAGCGTCTCGTCTTAGCACTGATAATGCGTTTGCCGAGATTTGCATGACCCACTACATTCATCATTACGTATTTCCCCCTCGCTGAAGATGATGCCAAGTAAGTGTTCTAAGGTGTCGTGAGGACAAGTGGTTCGTGATAGGGTTTGAGGCGATCCACATGTACGATTTCGCGGCCTCGGCGACGCAGGTCCACAGTGGCCGTGAGGGGTTTGATGAGGTAGTTAACAGCGGAAGTTTGTTCTATGACGCTATAAAGTCCATGGTACCTGCTGGCAAACTTTGTAGAGGTACCAGGAGCAGCACTGGGGGACACCCACAGCCAAACAAGAGAGTTGGGCGAAAATTGGTAGTTGGACCGTCCATCGTCGTGACGAAATTTCTGTAGCCCTTGTTCTTGTGTTGTAAGGGTTCGAGCTAATCACCGACATTCTTCCACATACCGCGCAGCTTCGGAAACTAGTGTGCCTTCGGATGAGTCGGGTCGGTAGGGGAGAATGGTGTCGATTAAAGATGATGGTTCTCGACCATAAAGTAAAAAGAAGGGAGAAAAGCCTGTCGTCGCTTGAGGTACCGTGTTGTAAGCGTACGTTACGTAGGGAAGGATAAGATCCCAGTTGGTGTAGTCGGAGGCGACATACATAGAAAGCATGTCGCCAAGAGTACGGTTGAAACGCTCGGTCAAGCCATTTGTTTGTGGGCGATATGCGGTAGTACAGTAGTGAATGATAGGCATTCTGCAAGAAGTTCTTGAATAACATCCGCGAGAAAGACGTGGCCTCGGTCGCTCAAAAGTTCACGTGGAGCGCCGTGACGCAGAACAAAATGTTGCAGCAGGAAAGACGCAACGTCACGTGCCGTCACGGCTGGTAGAGCGGCCGTTTCTGCATATCTCGTGAGATGGTCGATCGCTACAATAATCCAGCGATTCCCAGCTGATGTATATGGTAGAGGACCATAAAGGTCTATTTCAACCCGGTCGAATGGATGCACTGGGCACGGTAACGGCTGCATTGGTGCAGTAGGATGGCTAGGATCACGCTTGCGGCGTTGGCACTCTGTACAAGATCGAATGTACTTTTGAACGAATGCGTACATGCCGCGCCAATCAAACCGAAAACGTAGCCTGGCGTAGGTTTTAAACAAAC